AATTGGAAGTGGCTAGTCTAAGTACTTCATCTTTCAATCGAGCAATCACCATCGGTAGTGTAGAACCTGACGATGCAGTTATCAGAAAGAGTATTCTTTGTTCAGTAACCGTTCTACAATCTTTCGGCGGAATATATCTAAAAAGGAATTACGAACACATTAAGTTATTCGGAGTTTCTATTATACTTTTGAGTCGACAGAAGAACCTCTAGTAATGAGCAACCAACCTACTGGAACAAGTTAATGACAAATCTTGGTAAAAATTTCGCTTGTTAAAGAGTTAAAATAATACTATTGAATTCTTTCACACGACAAACAATGTCGAATTAAACTTGACTACTCAACTGGAAAACATAAAATCACGAACTAGCTAATATCAAGCCTAGTTTATAGTTAGTTGTCTTCCTTGGCAAAAGCTATTCTTAAGAAGTTTCATGAGAGACGCTGATTCATTATTTTGTCTGCTTATCAGACGCTGTCAGTGCCAGTGGAGAACAATGAATCATTTGTTTGTTCAAATGGGTCTTTTTATTTGCAGAGAGACAAGACGACATTTTTCACTGCTTAATCTTGTATTGGTTGGCAGAAGATTGGAGAAATATGATTAAAAGTACTGTTGTATTTTATTAATAACGTTTATTTACAGACTTTGGCACTGATCTGTCATTGTGAATCTGTTTCCTTATCACCTTAGGAATAAACAATCGTATTGCCCGACTACTTTCTGTTATTCTGCGACGACGAGAGTGTATACTGTTCTGTGTATTAGGCTTAGTATTCTGAAACCATGAAATAAGTTCAGGATCTTTATAATGTGGATATTTGACAGACGCCTACACTGTCCCTAATATTACACACAGATTATTCAATGAAATCAAAAAAGGGGGTGTGAATTCCGTTCCAGAAATAACTTCCATACAGTAAATAAAAACAGTGTCTGAGTCTCCCATTGACAACAATATCACTGAAGTACAAGAAAAGACAAGCATACCCAGCTGACAAACCATGAGCACACCTTCTAGATTCTGTTGTTAACCACCACTTCACTTACTTAAGAAGTTGCATCAGCCAGCGCCAATACAGCGAAACAGAAGGCTAATTTGTAAGATGCTAGTTTACGCTGTCTATGGTGCAGACGTGATATCCGGCCGGCTATCGACCGAATGGCGTATGTACTGCTTAGGAGTTCGCTCTTTCCTCTTGTACGATTGTGAGGCTTGGTTACTGGAAGTGGAAGACATGTAAAGCCCGACTTGCTGTCTTTGAGCATAGGTGCCTGCATTCTATATCCCGTATATAGTGGTATAATAGGATAAGCAATATTGAGGTTATACATTGGTCAAGTGCTACGTAAGGAGGGGATGTCAAAAGACGAGCCTGTGAAGCTACATCAACTGAGATGGTTAGGACATGTGTTACGCATGCATGCCTAGCCATCCATTGCCTTCCTCGACTACAGGCAATGTTAGCTGACACAGGCTCAGGTTGGAAAAGAGCCAGTGGTGGTCAGACCAAAACATGGCTTCATCATTCGGTGAAATCCACAACAGTTAATTTAAGCCAGTCACGTAGGAAAGTGTAGACCTTTTGACTGGTTGGGGTCCTCGGAACGGTAAACACCGACGGCTGGAGACTATTGGTGATATGTGCGTCGGTGGCATAGTGGCCAGGACTCTCGTCGACCATGCACATGGTCCAAGGTTCAATCCCCTGCCAACGCACACCCGATATCACTGGTCGGCCTGCGAATTTGGCCTACCGATATCACATACTGAAAATTCCATACTTGTACCAAAAATACTGTGTGGAATCAAGCTAAAATAAAAAGTCATTGTCAGTGGCACAAATGCATGCATTCTTTGTGACTTATAATACCCAGTGAAACTGTATTGGTCTTCGATATTGCTATTCCCTTTGTCTCACATGTCAGTTTACTGTCTTTATTTTGCATCTTTTTAAACTTTTTTCTCTTGCTTAGTGCGCTGCATGGAGTGTGGTGACTTGAAATGCTGCACACCGGGTGCAAAGTCCTCAGTCAGTCAGTTGGTCAAATTATTCAAAAAGTATTTTCACTCAGCTTGAATAAAGACATTTACAATGCTCACTTTTACTTTCATTCCCTCCGTCTCAATCGAGTCACTATACACCAGACAATACTTTATCCTAATATACACACTACATATAATTCGACTGATTGTTACTGTGTTCTTTTCTCGTTCAAACAGGTTGTTTTGTTTGATTTTTTTCAATTTTTATGCTTACTAAGGTTAAAAATATTGGCATGCGATTAGAAAAACAGTGAAAGTCATTCTAACGACAAAATAATTACAATCAAAGATCAATTAAATTTCTTCTAGTCATTTCCATCAATGTTCTTATGCGTGTGTGTGTGTGCATGTGTTTTCCATCCATTTTAGTTTCATTCAATTTTCATATCCTCATCCTTTTGCTGTCCACCCTTACTGTTATATTTTTGTTTGATTATTGGTTGGAGGATTTCATCATTAGCTGACTGACATCAGTTAGAGAACCATTATCCTAGTTTGGGACTCTCGTCCAGTAGCGCGAACCCACCACCAAAGTAGGGTGTGAGGTTCAATCCCAGGACCTTCTGGTCACAAGGCTCACTAGTTCGTAGACTATTAAGCCACTGGGATCCGATCCAATGGTCAGCACGTGAATTCTAACTTCCACCAATTCATGACATAGTGCGATCACTTAGCACTTTTTCTTTACAATGAGTTACTGTCTCACATTTAACCTGCTACACCCTACTGGCTATGGCTTCCTACTAGAACCCCAGGTTAACTGCCTGAATGGGGTCAATCACCACTAGTGAGCATCAGATTAATTTTTAAGTATTGATTTTCGGAATCAGGGAAGCAAGACAAGCTTGCATTACTCTTAAGTCTGTGTGGAAGTCAACATCACTGCTCACCATCAAAAATAACATCCGGATTTTCAACTCCAATGTGAAGTCAGTCAGTGCTACTCACCATACGGATCAGAAACTTGCACTGCACGTCATAAACAGCATCTCAAACAAACTTCAAACATTCATCAACAGTTGTCTTCTCTCAATATCACTCAAGATCAGATGGCCGGCCAGAAAAGATCACCAACATTGAGGGATCTCTGGCAATCAGCGAACCAACCAACACAGCCGGAACCGATTGTCAAACAAATAGGCAGGAAGAAATGGAGATGGATTGGATTGTGGCCATACTCTGAGGAAACCATCAAGTGAGTGACATCACTAGACAAGCCATTGCTTGAGTGTAACCAGGCCGAAAGGGAAGCGGGTGGCGAGTTGGTCGTCAGTGCATGGGTGAGGGTGACTTGGCGGAGGTCATGTGAGGAGGAGATGAAAGCGTGTGGTCAGACTTTGAGCGGGGTGAAGATGCTGGCGGAAGACCGAAGGCAATGGATACTTGGGTGGCTGAAGGTGTATGTTCCTCTAGGAATTAAAGGATATAATAATAATAATAATTGATTTTCGTACGGATTTAGTTTTTTTGGATGGAGGATTTCATCATGAGCTGCTGAGGAGTCGCAAACTGGGAGTAAAAACAGATTTTCAGTACTCTCTGTAGGTTTTCCATTGTTGTTCTTTAACTGAGGTAAGTTTATCATGAAAACTTCCAACCAAATCTCTACAAAATCCAATACTCGGTTTAATTAATAAACAAGACAAATTAATTTTGCTCAATAAATAAATTAAATTATTAAGTAAACAGTATTTTCAAAATAATAATAATGATTTTTAACTTGACTCATTGACAAGTATTAAATATTCAAAGATAGTGGTACATTTAGGGCAAGAACCACCATGAAAAAAATAAAACGCAGAAATTTAGAAAACATAAAGGGAAAAAACAATTAAAATTATAAAAATTTAAAGAAGAAAAAGGTAACCATCCGAGGAAAGGAAGACAAAAATCACTTGGAGTGTATGTGTGTTTGGGTGTTTGTAAGAAAGATCTTGATTGATAATAAGGTGAAGTCCAAGTAACTTTACATTCACACACACACATACACATACAGAGAAAAAGACAGACGGAGATGGATAGACAGACAAACAGACAGAGAGTTTGTTTACTTTACAAGATCATCATCATCATAATGATGATGATGATGATGATCATGCTTTACATTCCAAGTGAAACATATAGAGCCTCAAGCTAGAGTGTTTACAGCTTTCGGTGTCCTTAAGACCAGCTTATCGAGGTACAAAAAAAAGATTGAACCCCTGAAGCACGTGTGTGGTTGACGAGTATTCTATATCTCTCTGAACCACTGACGTACAATGTGCTCTCGAGGTTCATTGGTCTTAGTAAACACAGCAAACAAAAAGAGTTCAGAAGAATAAATAAATAAGAGTAAATAAATAAAATGACTGACTCATAAAATACTTGATATCTTTTGCTGAAATATCTGTCATGGTTGCTCCCCTGTTTCAAAAATATAAATTTGTATGCGATTTATATAATATACGAGATTTCACATGTCTTCAAAACTGCACAACTTGCTTTTGCTGGCTCTGTTTTCGTTTAACACTTGTTTTGTTTTGTTTTGCTTTGCTTTACCTTGAACATCAAAACTATCACCACACTGTATTTGTATTGTATTGTATTGTTTTTATGCACTGGTTGTCATGGTGAGTAAAATGAAAAGTTTTATCAAAAGTGTTGTTACATAATGCATATATTATTATTTATTACTGTTCTTTTAAACTAAGGGAAATCATAGTGCTCGTATTAGTAGTAGTAATAGTACAAATAACAAAATATTCTTAGTAAAAAATATGAGAATTACGCACAAATATATGGGAAGAATTAAGTGAGCGAAGTTGGAGAACAAAGACTAAGAGATAATAATAATAATAAAAGGATGAACAAAACAGTATATGTGTAAATGTCATTACCACGGTATTCAGTTGATTCTGATTCATATATTATTGAAAGCCAGAAGGTAAATATTTGATCACACATAAATATAAGTCACAGCTGTTTATTTGTCATGGGAGTAACCAGATCCAGTTTTTTTATCATAAAACTAAGAATACAGATGTTATCATCATTCTCGTCTATAGAAGATACGGGGAAAAACACGACAAACAAACAAACAAAACAAATAAATTCTTACTCATTCATTGTACAATGATTCAGTGAATTCAAACATTGAAAATGTTTAATTCAAATTTTAGATTTTCCCCCATCGATTGATTTCCCCCAAAGTGCTCGGTGCTTTCAAGTTGACATATTGGCGCTCCCTGTGCAGATGATTCGACAAGGCACTTCGGTTCAATCAATCGTAAAGGGGAAAATCTAAAAAGCAGTTATAATAATTAAAATATATTTCCTTCTATCTCCGGTAGTCGAGATTTTATTTCGTCGATGACGTTCAGTGTATGACGTTTCAAAGAGCGATGATTTGGGTGAATATGATTGCGACGAAGACATTTCCAGAAGTGCTTGGGATATTCCTTCTTATCAATACAGCTCTTCAGAAAACTGATTCTCGTATTCACTATGGCAAGTTTGACAGAAAACTTTAGAGACGTATCAAGTTCCTTCACTGTCGATGGGGAACTGGAGCGACTCAGACAAGTTCTCATAGAGAATGGTTATCCTCCAAGATTAATCGAGAAAAACATGAAGTTAAGAGAAAAGCCTGAAAGAGTCCAGACGGTGACGAAGAAACTGCTCTTCATGAGTGTTGAATTTAAAGGTGATACTGCAGCTGAGATCCTGAAGAATCGCTTATGAAGATCCCTGAGGAAAGCCTTCTGAGCTACGTATCAATTTCTACAGCCGACAAATGATCAACGGATGTGTGAAGGATAAACTGCCGCTTTAGGCCACCTCAATGTGTGTTTATAAATTCACCTGCTCGTGTGGAGCTAGTTATATTGGCCGCCTTACAAAGCGCACGCTTTCCAAACGCATCTCTGAACATTATCCGGCATGGTTAGCAAAGGGACAAAGCAAGACAATTACTAGCTCAATTCTCGAGCATTTGGTGAACTCAGGCCACATAGCTCCACCAAAGTCGTCTTTCAACATCATCTACAAAGTGAAGCCAAATTGTACAAAGGGCGTCGGGTTTCGGCTTTTTTGTATGACGGAGGCGCTGGTAATTCATCAATACAACCCTTAACTCTGTATACGGAAAAAGTTTGTCCAGTCACTTATTCTACCTTGGTCTTAACCTCTTTACTAATCATTCCCTGTAAAAAATTTTTGATTTTTTCTTTTGTTCTTAATTTTTAATTTTACTCTTAGTTTGCTTTTGCTTTAATTATTAATTCACTATTATCAGTTTCATATGCTCCTTTTGTATATTTTCACACCCTCTTCACACTTGTTAAATTGACACTCAAATATCTTTATTCTCACTGAATAGCAATTTTAACCTTATCAAACTTCTATCCTTGTTCCGTTGAGTACAATGTAATCTACAACTTATAACTTTCACTTCTAAAGCCACTTATGATTAACTATATCAATTATGTCACCCCCTATTACTCAACAATAGATCACTATATATTTTTCGGTAAGTATAAATACGACTGTACAGCCTCTGAAGATGATTTCGTCGGTAAAGAAACTTTTCTTCGCTGAATCTGTCTCTTTATTTTCTTCCTGACTCAATGGGTATTTTCCGTGATTTGAAGCAGAGCAAGAACCCCGCGACAGTGAAGGAACTTGATACATTTCTTAAGTTTTCTGTCAAACTTGCCATAGCGAATAAGCGAATCAGTTTTCTGAAGAGCTGTACTGATAAGAAGTAATATCCCAAGTACTTCTAAATTAATTAATATGACCCATTGCACAAGAGGTGGCTTTCTTGTGGCCCAAGTGTTCTAGTGCATAACGCTTTGGTGTTTGAAACTATCGGCACTGGTTTCGAGCCTCGGTGGGAACAACATCATCTCTGACTCACTGGGGGAATGCAAGCACATCCAGCTGACGAGCTCCAAATAGGATGAAATGCCTGGATGTCCTGGATTTCTAGTGCTCATCAAGCATTGTATACATTGTACACTGAGAATACCGATTGATGCATAAATAAAATTAAAGAGAATTAAGAGAATAAAATATTTTCTTTATCGACGAAATCATCTTCACAGGCTGTACAGTCGTATTTATATTTACCAAAAATGTATAGTAGTCTATTAGTGAGTAACATGGAGGGGCTAAATTATTTAATATAATCACTCAGAAGTAGCTTCAAAAGTGAAAATAAAACTTATAAATTAGTTAATACTCAATAGCACAGAGGAGGAAAGGGTTAGAGATTTGATAAGGTCTATTTTTTTGCATAAATTTTATTAGTTTAGTTAGTCTTCTATTTCTTCTGAAATATTCAGCAAAAAATTGACCATATATCATGCTCTTTAGAATAAGGCGGCATCTAACTAAACTCGTGGATATAATTCATCGAACAAAGTCACTCACATATTTCAAAGAATTTTAACCTAAGAATTAACTTACTGCAACGCTACTGCCTTAAGTAAGGATGCATTCGGGCAACTGTAGTTGATGAGGCTTGCACAGAACGTAGTTTTAAGGGTCCTGCAAAATATGAAAGTGAAATTCAAAAGATATCACAACTTGTTTACATGTATAAATAAAATAAACAAAATAAAAACTGAGTTCCTATTTTTGAACAATGTAATCTGCTAATCGAAAACTTGTTTGCAATAAGCCTGCTATCACTGGAATGACTTATAAAGCATACCATCTCTACAATAAAAACGAACTGAGACATATATCAGAGATATGAAAAAGAGAAGACGTTCAGTGAAAAGACTGAGACAGAAAAAGAGGAGTAGTAGTTCAGTTTCTCACCCCCCCCCCCATTGAATTCTCAATTAAGTCAAACTTAATGTCACCAGACGTTAAATTAGCCAACATTTTACAGCTACCGTCCATCAGGGTTCATATTCTCACTCTTAACTATTCTTTGTCTACACTCTACGAATTACTTAGTCTGAAGTCAAAAGACTTTTTGACTTAACCAGTGAATGACTTTATTCACTGTCATTTCTTCTTTTACTACACTTCCCTGAAATTAGGAAAAAATACGCAAATTCGGAAATACCACTGGTTAAAGAAACATCATTTCACTTAACAGACCATTAATGCAATTCTTAAAATGTATTTTCAACGATTTCTTGTTATGATACTGTTTAAACATTAGATTCATCTTATTCACAAGAAGATATCTACTTGATAAAACATTACAACGAAAGCCATTTGTATGCTTTGCATAATTTATGGTAATAAATGGCTTTTAAGTTAAGGCAGAAATATTCTTATACACATAATTTAGTCGGATGAAAACTTAAGTACAAAAAAATGCTTATCTCAGCTTATTAATACTGACAATAGATAGCAGATACGAATGAGACTTTTGAAGAAAAAACAACATGCTATAGCGTTTAATTTAGTTATAAGACGACATCAGGATTAAAACATACACAGTGTCAGAGTTGAATTGAATCACTGCGGTAGGGGATAATTTCATAATATATATACATGTTTCAAACCGTTAAAAGTGAACTTGGTTTGGATATATATAATATATACATGTTTCCTTTCATATAAAACTCAGCGATACAGTATTAATACCTAAATCCAAAAACTGGCGTAGAATTATGCTTCTGTCCATCCCAAGCAAAATACTAAGCCCCATCATCCTGTACAGAATCAAACAAGTCAACCTGAATGCAAAACTCCAACCGGAACAAGCTGGATTCAGGAGAAAAAGTCATGTATCGATCAAATCGGCACACTACGGATCACCGTTGAGCAAAGATTGGAATGGAAGTCACCCCTCTACCTCACTCAAATTCATCAACTTTGAAAAGGCCTTGGACAGCGTAGCGTCGATTGAAGGGTGATTTGGGAACTACTTCGCTACTACCAAGGGGTCTCATCGACAATTATACATCTCATCCAACAGTTATACGACAATGCTGCATCCCTTCAAGTAATCCACAACGGGAAACTTACGGAAGCCTTCGAAGTGAGGACGGAAGTCAGGCAAGCCGGCTGGCGGCCTACTATCACCAATGATCTTCCTGATTGCAGTAGACTGGATAATACGACAGACAACGGTCAATGAGGACACAGGCATAAAATGGACTCACACAAAAATAGAACTTGCAGGATCTGGACTTCGCCGATGTGGTATATATGTCTGATTTCCCAAAAACTGGAAGATATGCAAGTGAAAAGCAACAAGCTGGCAGAACAAGCATCCACAGAGGACAGGACTTCAAGTGAACATAGATAAAACAGATGTGGTGATGAAGATTCCTGGCCAACACCAACAGCAACAACAACAACCACAGACAACAATCAGCCAGAATAAATGGGAGGAACCTGAAAGAAACAACCTCCTTCACCTACCCACCTACCTACCTACATGGAAGCATCGTTTCAACTACTGGCGGACGGAACTGACGAGGATATCAAAGCCACAATCGGAAAAGCAAGAAAAGCTTGCATTAAACTTAAGTCTGTGTGGAGGTCAACATCACTGCTCACCATCAAAAATAACATTCGGATTTTCAACTCCAATGTGAAGTCAGTCAGTGCTACTCACCACACGGATCAGAGACTTGCACTGCGCTCCATTAAGAGCATCTCAAACAAACTTCAGACCTTCATTAACAGTTGTCTTCGATCAATACCACTCAAGATCAGATGGCCGGACAGAAAAGACCACCAACATTGAGGGATCTCTGGCAATCAGCGAACCAACCAACACAGCCGGAACCGATTGTCAAACAAAGAGGCAGGAAGAAATGGAGATGGATTGGATTGTGGCCATACTCTGAGGAAACCATGAAGTGAGTGACATCACTAGACAAGCCATTGCTTGAGTGGAACCAGGCCGAAAGGGAAGCGGGTGGCGAGTTGGTCGTCAGTGCATGGGTGAGGGTGACTTGGCGGAGGTCATGTGAGGAGGAGATGAAAGCGTGTGGTCAGACTTTGAGCGGGGTGAAGACGCTGGCAGAAAATCAAAGGCAATGGATACTTGGGTGGCTGAAGGTGTATGTTCCTCTAGGAATTAAAGGATATAATAATAATAATAATAATAATAAATGACATTTTCAACACAACTGATTGTTCGTAATCTTATCAGTGTAGTAAAAAAGAAAGAAATTAATTTTAATATTATATCAATAAACTAGTAAGCCTGAGAAAAGTACCTGAACTGCCGTCTTGTACAGTTGATGAATTATTATATTCTAGGATATTTACAGCATCTGAAAGTGAAGATGAATGTGAAGTCATGGGGTAATTATGACCAACTGAATTCATGTTAGACGCATAACTACTAACATTGCCATTTGATAAATGAAGATTGGATCCACTTGCACCAATATTTCCAGTTGTATTTCCACCCAGGAGAGCAGCTGCTACAGCAGCTAATTGATCATGACCTTCAAAAGTATATAAATGTAATTAGAACTCTTAAAAAAGTATACTCACTTATAATTCATTTAAGTGAATCGATCAGTTAGAGAACACGGATTAGAAATACTGAAACTCTGAAGGAAAACTTGATAGACTAAAGTAACCTGTAACGAAACGGGAAGATACGCCTTCACCAACCTGAAACTAGTGTGCAAAATTTTTCGCACACCACCTTCTCAGCTCAGGGAGCAAGATTCGGATTTCCAGCACCAATATGAAGTCAGTCAGCCACTCCTTTAATATATGGGTCAGAAACTTGGCCAGAGTGTTTCGAAAAGTATTTTGAACAGGTTACAGACATTCATCAACAGCCGCCACTTTTACCGTCTCCATAAAGAAGATCGAATGGCCATCTGGCCGGTCAGAAAGGAGAATCCTCAACAAGAAACTCTGACTAGCTAGCTGGGAAAAAACCAACCAAGAACCGATCTCTCAACAAATATGTGGGAGAAAATAGAGATAGCTGGATCGGGCATACGTTGAAGAGTCCGCCGCATGACGTCGAGCTCAGTGGAATCTCAATGGGAAGCGATGAGTCAGTCGTCAGTGGCAAGGTGACATGGAGGAGATCGTGTGGCGAGGAGGAGGAGGAGGTGAGAGATTGTGGGCAGTCCTTTGACTAGCGAGCTGAAGAGGACAGCAGAAGAAGAGAAGGAAGTGAGGATGTGCTGTTGAAGCCGTATATTCTACTCGGAAACCATGAGAATAATAATAACAATGATACTAGTAACCTGCGCTACTAGATGTTTAGTTCAATAGAAATCTACGTAACAGATGTCACTAACAATGATTAAATTACTTGTTAAAATCCACTTATATAAGAAATACGCGCTAACTTTAAAAATACTGCAAAATACAAAGACAAATCGTTTTCACTAACGTCACAGAATTTTAGTATTGTTTCACGGTTTAAGAGAGGTGGTGTTGTTAAACAATTTAGATTACATATTACAGAAATTAAGAATTTATAAGAAAATGTTAGTTCGGCAAAGTTCTTTACTACAATGAATTTTAAATAGTGTTTGTAAAAACGAATTGATAAATCACTAAAGACATGTGTCAAATCTCAGGAAGCCTGATATGTTTATCGAAGTGACATATGCATCAAAAACTTCGGTCTGTCATCATCATCACAATTTCATTGGCTGATTAAGGCTGGTAAGCAGAAATTGATCAGTTGCCCCATTCAACCCCCCTACATGAACAGCTATCCTTAATCCAAGTCAACAAGTGTCGCATAAAATATTATTAACAAAACGCCTCTAGCTTTTCATTCCTACAAGCAATATATTATTCAACTGTATGACCAAATTTCCTTCTGAGCGGAAACCAAGTCCATCTACAATCCGAAAAAAGGAAATTTTCACATTTCGAACATTTCATATAAAATTTTATAATTCAGGCTATATAATGCAAGGAAGCTGAAAAATCGTTTAACCTTTTTATCTCTAAAACAAGCAATAAAGGTTAATAAAGCAGGATGATTTAATGATGGATTCGTCAAATTTCGGTAGAACTCCTCGTCAGCTGCTCAGTACTCTACATACATGGATAAATTTATATACTTTTGAAATTACATTGGGAGATATAAGACTGATAAGTGAGTAAATAAACTACATTGAATTAGTCATGCAGAAAGACGACAGGTGCGAATGTTTTCCAAGTCATGTTCAAATAGATAAGGGAAGGGCGAGGGAGCATGAGAGATCAAAATTAAGATTAAATGCATTACGCTTCAATTACATCACTTAGATAAACAATTAGTCATTAGGGAATATAACGAGAATTGCAAACAGGCTAATATCAATAGTAATAGTTATAATAATAACAATAATAATAATAGTGTTGAAGTGAGTTAAGATAGTCTTACTGATAAACCATAGTTTTAAATGAATCAAGAATAATAATAATGATAATAATAATAATAATAATAGTAAGAAGAAGAGATAGAATAATAGTAATAACAAGTAGAGAATAATAAGTAAAACATATTACCATGGTAGATTCAGAGTGACGACCATCTCCTTTTGTATACAGAGAGCTGGTTTATAAATTCGAATTGCACAACCAGCTCTCTGTATACAGTTTGAATGTGTTTGTGGCAGCAAATACATAGGTCGTACGGAATGGTGATTGTCTACTCGCATGATGGAGCATTTGCCAAAATGGTCGAAAACAGCTGAGTGCAAAGTGCCTAAATCCTCAATAACAAAACATCTTGCGGATTACGGACATGAAGATATCGACGCGGTCAAGTCATCCACTATTGTCAGCAGACAAAGAATCAAGCAGGTGCTTGCAATTTCAGAGGCTTGTTCAATTCGAGTTTATAAACCAGCTCTCTGTATACAAAAGGAGATGGTCGTCACTCTGAATCTACCATGGTAATATGTTTTACTTATTATTCTCTACTTGTTATTACTATTATTCTACCTCTTCTTCTTACTATTATTGTTATTATTATTATCATTATTATTATTCTTGATTCATTTAAAACTATGGTTTATCAGTAAGACTATCTTAACTCACTTCAACACTATTATTATTATTGTTATTATTATAACTATTACTATTGATATTAGCCTGTTTGCAATTCTCGTTATATTCCCTAATGACTAATTGTTTATCTAAGTGATGTAATTGAAGCGTAATGCATTTAATCTTAATTTTGATCTCTCATGCTCCCTCGCCCTTCCCTTATCTATTTGAACATGACTTGGAAAACATTCGCACCTGTCGTCTTTCTGCATGACTAATTCAATGTAGTTTATTTACTCACTTATCAGTCTTATATCTCCCAATGTAATTTCAAAAGTATATAAATTTATCCATGTATGTAGAGTACTGAGCAGCTGACGAGGAGTTCTACCGAAATTTGACGAATCCATCATTAAATCATCCTGCTTTATTAACCTTTATTGCTTGTTTTAAATTAGTATCGGGAAATAAATGTTTTCAACTTTTTATTTCTATTCTCCTATAAACTTACTAGCTGTTTGTAAGCTAGAACCGATTGGTAAAGACAATCCAGATAGTCCATTTCCAGTTAAACTACTGGCAATTTGACTTAATGGTAAATTAAGATTAATCTGTCCATTGTTTGTTGACGATCCTGTACTACCGGCAGCGGCAGCAGCAGCTGAAAAAGCTGCATTCGCTGTTAAAGGATACAATAATCCAGATAAATTAGTATTTGGTAAATAAGTGGTGGTTAAATTCGTTGAACTGAAAGACGGAAGAGAATGAGATAATTGATTATTTGATATGGAATGCACTGAAGTCATTTGAGGCAAACTTGAGTTTACTGCTGATCCAGGCAGTAGACAATTTGTTGTTAATGATACAGGAAGCACTTGTGATTGAATTTGAGGTAGAAGATTATTCGAAGGGTATTTATTCGATGGAAGTATATGAGCGGCAGCTGCGGCTGCGGCTGCTGCAGCCGCCGCTGCCTGATGATTCAACACTGTGAGTGACTGATGCTGTAGGATAAGCTGTTGATGCTGTTGAACCTGTTGGATATGAGCTTGCTGACGATCTTTATCTGAAATGTGATAAACCCAGAAACAAAGAATAATAATAGACTGTTTCTCTAAATCATGAATATTTTCACCAATAATTTCACGTCTTTGCAATTAATAGTGTTCTCTGAGGAGCTGGTTGGTTTAGTTTGCGGAGCTTTTGTCGTCCCCTTTTCTGGACAACATCCCTTTTCAGCGCAATATTTAGTATAAAGTGTGAAATGATTTAAATCTTTCTTCATAAGTGGTGATATAATTGCGTCTTCCGGTAACCATCTTTACATATGTAAATCAGGTAACCAGAAAGTTTAAAATCCAAGTCAATAGAAAACGGTCAAGATGGTTACCGGGAGACGCAATTATATCACTCATAAAAGCAAATTTAAATCATTTCACACTTTATGCTAAATATTGCGCTGAAAGGGGATGCTGTTCAGAAAAGGGGACGACGAAAGCTCCTCAACTAAACCAGCCAGCTCGGAGAACACTACTTGATTGCAAATCATCCCACCTGAGCTACAATTCTTTTCTATTATTTCAAAATTTTCTTCTTTATTTAATCAAACTCAATTATTTATTATTATTATTGCTCCCTTGGGTTCCTAGTGGAATACAGAGCTTCAACTGCACGTCTCCACTTGCTTCCGTCTTCCTTCTGTTGTACTTTTCACCTGCATCCATCCATGTTAGTCCATACTCTTTCAACTCCTATTCACACGATTTCCTCCATGTCACCCTTGCACTGACGTCCCACTCGCCGCATGCTTCCCTTTCGGCCTGGTTCCACTCGAGTAATGGCCTGACGCGCGCGCGATGTCACTCAGCGGTGGCCTCTTCAGCGAGTGTCCGATCCATCTCCACTTTCTCCTGCAAATTTGTTGGTTGGCGATTGGTTACTGTTTTGTTTGTTCCCAGCCATAGTTTCTTGTTGGTGATTGTTTCCAGCCTGGCCATCTGATCTTGAGTATAGAGCTAGCGAAGACAGTTAGTTGTTGATGAATGTCTGCAACAGGCTGTTGGAAATATTCTTTGTGACCCAGCCGCCAAGTCACAAATTGTGATCCGTATAGAAGAATTGACTGATTTGACGTTTGTATTGGAAATCCGACCGACGGAATTTTGTTGTTGATGCTGAGTGACAGCGGATTGGTTTGGGGTTGATGGATGTTTTTCTAGCCTTCCCGAGTCTCGCTCGACTTGACATCCTCGTCCGTTCCGACTTCCTATAGTTGAGACAATCCTCCCCAGATAAGTGAGTGAATTAATTAACCTCTTTCAAACCCTTCCCGTTGATGGTGATTGATGCTGTATGTTGCTGTTGTTGTTGGTTGGTTATTTTCATCACCTCCGTCTTGTTTATGTTCACTTAGAGTCCTGTCTTCGCTGACAGCTTCTTCGACTAGTTTGCCGGTCGGTTTTGGCTTGTAAGTCTTCGATTTTGTGTGTGTGACATCAAACATAAATCATCCAAGCGCGAAATTCAGGTCTTCTAGGTTCTTTGCCTCGGTCCAGGATATTCCTGTCTTCTCGTTTCCCACTGTCTGACGCATAATCCAGTCCACCACATTTAGGATTATGATTCATTGGTGATAATAAGCACCCTTGTCTGACTCCTGTGTTTACTCCAAACGCCTCGCTGAGTTTTTTTCCGTTGTAGATCACTTGACATGTGCCGCCGTTGTCGTACAAGTAGCTGTTGAATAAGGTTGATGGATATTTGGGGCACCGTACGCCGTAGTACTCGAGTAATTTCCAAATTACTTCACGATCAACGCTGTCTGTTAAAGGCCTTTTCAAAGTCTATAAAGTTGAGGCAGTTGATGTATGATTGCCATTCAATACTTTGTTTTGTGATGGTGATGATGTTGATGATGATGCGTAGAGTTGCAATTTGGTTTGTACATGATTTGGCTTACTTTCCTGAATCCAGCCAGCTTGTTCCAGTTGGGCGCAGTTCTGTATCCACAGTGCGTCCTTCAATTTCTCTCAAGAATGATACGACTCAGGATTTTACTTGGCGTCGACAGGAATCAAACTCAATAGTAAATTTAAAAAAAAAAATTAGTTAAGAGAAAACCACCCAGTGAACATATATAACTGAAAAGTATTTAGAAAAGTGAGTGAATTCAAAACGCAAACACATCCGTGCAGGAAAAATAAATGAAACAACAATAGCATGCGAAGGTTAAGCAGTACATTAGTACATTAGCAGAAAAAAATCACATCAAGTACACAATGTAAAATTCTACTTCCACAAAAAACAGGCTAGAATTATAATCTTTTGACAAAAAACACCACCACTGAGTTAACAGTTCAACAACAAAAGTGACAACAATACGACACACATTGAAAAAAAAACATTTATTTGTGTTATGTACCTGTCGTAGCTATAAAAAAAATGGACTTGCTATTCTATTCAACCACAAGGTTAAACACTTCCAGATAAAAAGCTAAAAAGTTGGTTTGTTTACATAAATAACATCTAAAAACATGTACGACAGTATAATATATGATGATGATGATAATGATGACAGTGAAGTGCTATCACATCTTGAATGTTGACAGCAACCGCCATTGAAATAAACAAATTTGAGGCTAGCGATTTTGCGCGTAATCATCTATAATTCATCTAATCTATGCAAACTGTCACGCATTTTAATGTTTGAGTACAAATATGATTCTCATCCATAGCAACTTTGGTCAATGACAATCATTCAAGGTGAGATTTTAGGAAAACTATGATGGCTAGACGTAAAAAACAAGCAGTCGTTTACTCCCCTCTCCCCAGTGGAACATTACAGGTTTGAAGTTCCCGTAGTAATGGTGTTTATTTTTACGAAATAGGCTGGCTAGTCTCATAGATTCAACCTTTCTTCTTTACCAGGTCTTATTACTGTTTTGGCGAGGTTATAGGAGTTAGCTGATGGCTGAGGATTGAAAGCCGAACGCAGTGAGGAGGCGTGGTCGTCAAAATTTCTACCGGTGTGCCACCGACGCACTTAGCCGCTGGTGTGATTGGTAATGTTTGTTAATTGCTTGACAGACGAGATAAAAATAGTGATCACCACTACTTATTCGTGTCTTTCAAGGCATTTAGTTCTTTATAGTTTGTGAAGGGAAGATCAATTACAGTTGAAATGGTTTAAATAGGTTTAAAATAATTTCTATAGTATCAATTGTTATTAAATCATTAGATAGTCAGAAAACACTGGTTATGGTAATACTTTTTTATTGGTGGTGTTAATATAGATAAGCCATAATAGTAGTAAACGTGCAGGGCAAACAAGTAGCACGTGAAGACTTATTGTACAGAGTATCCATGTTTTAAAGCGACATGCTTACATAATGATAGGAAGCTCACCAGTACACTATTCCTTGTAACGAGTATTCTGTGTGTGTTTGCTGTTTATCCGATATATTTCGTCATTTCATAAGAATCCAAACGATATTATTAGTTTTAGTTACAATAGCCAATTATGGTTAGCCTAATCGCTTTATAACTTACTGGACAGAAGTCATAATAATAATAATAACGCTTCATATCACAGATGCTAAATTCATCAGTAATATAATAACACCTATAATTCGGAATACAAAATCAAAAAGTATTGAATTGCTATCGTGTGAAAACCAATACACATACTAGTGTACAGATTGTGGTATTTCTGCAAACAAATCAGTCATATATACTCGAAAGAAAGAGAAAATAAATGTGTACAGTCGAGAAGTTAACACAGTAGTTACTTTAATCGTTAAACTACATACACATAACTCTGACCATATAAGCCTTTTAATTTGAATAGTCTTGTATTACTGGTAGAATTTTTTTTCTTTTTCATTTGACAGTTTTCCGTATTCACGCCGAGTAACAAACACTATGTGAGAAACCAACCAGGAAGATATGAAACTCAATGGCTTGTTTATAGTTAAATTTTGTCTATGAAGTTAGTTCCTGGCCAGTGCTCCAGTGACTGATTTACAAACAGATAGAATGGGGTTGACCTAAATTCTGACTGTGGATCATTGATATTTCCACGGTTAAATTTAAAGAAAGTAGATAATTAATGTAAAAGCGATTAAAGGTGGACAGTCCTTACTTCAAGACAAGAAAAAAATTCCAAACACAATCCAATGGTATTCAAGTATTGGCTTCTAGGCATTTGATTTGATTGCTTGATTGATATTACAGGATTTCGTCATGAGCAAACATCAGTTAAAGAACCGTTGGAAAACCTGCAGGGAGTACTGGACAGTGGTTTCCATTGCCCTAGTTTGGGACTTCTGGTGGGACCAGTAGTGTGCAGCAGGTCGGGTGTGAGGAAAAATACTCACCAAAGATGGCACTGGCTAGCAGTCACACTATATCGTGAATTGTCAGAAGTTACAGTTCATGGATTGGTCATCCGATCGGGTACTAGTGGCTTAATAGTCTACGAGCTAGCTCGCCTTGTAACCAGAAGGTCCTGGGACACTGAAACAGTTGCTTCCCCAATGGTTCGCTAACCGATGTCAGCTGATGATGAAATCCTCTAAACAACCAAATGGCTTGTGTATTTCGTGAAATAAGCTACACATTAAATAGACATTCAGTGAAACGAAGAAATTAACAGCCTTATATATATATATATATATATAGGAATCAGAATATAAGTATCTGTTAGACACATTACTAGTCCGAATCAAAATTCAACTGAGGATTGATTATATTACATTGTACAATTCCACCATAGTTATATTCATCAAGCTGAGGAGTGAACTTACCTGTGGGATCTGTAATACGCTAAGCAGGATGAGAATACATGTGGAAATGTAATGATGACAGTCGACAAAGCTATCAGATGGCGATAAGGTTACAGTGAACTTCTGAAAAGATCACCATGGTAACATAACATCTAGTTATTTAAATTTAGTTTTGATTATACTACCTTGTGATCTAGTGGAGTGTAGGAGTTACAAGTAACACTATACAATGTAGATAAATCGTAAATTTGTAAAGACGGAAGATTAGTCATTGATCAGTACT